GGGAGGCGTCCTCGGGCCCGCCTGGCCTGGGCCCGGGGGCTCGGCAGCCACGGGCCGCCCTGGGCCTGGAGACACAGGTGCGGGGCGCCCTGGGCCCGGAGATACAGGTGCGGGGCGCAGACGCCTGCAGCGGCCCCGCTGTGCTCAGCTGGGAAGGGGGTGGGAGCGATGCGGGAGCCGCGCCCCTGGAAGTAGCTGCAGGGGCGGCTGGCACTCACCTCGGCCCAGCAAGGCTGCTGCAGGTGATGGCTGACCTGGCCCCTCAGGCGCCCAGGACTTGGCTGCAGACCCCTCGAGCTCTCAGGGCCTCTCGCAGCAAACGGGAGCCCGCCTTCCGCAGGCGGGCAGATGCCCCGGCGCCCTCTCAACATCCTGCACGGCGCTCTTAGTGCAGAGCTGAGGCCGCCCTTGGCCCTGGGTTCAAGCCCTGGCTGCCTGCCTGCTGCCACCATCCCCGCACCAGCAGGCCCCTTAGTCGCTGCGTTGAGACTTAGCTTGAGGATTGTTGGTGCTGAGCGAGATGACGGGTAAAGCCCGGCTCCCTGGCCTGCGCCGCTCCCCGGGCCGGCTCTGCCCCTTTGCAGTCGGGTCTGATGGGCTGTCCTTTCTTTCCTACCTCCTTTCCTCAGCTACAGCAGAGCAGCTGAACACAGCCGTGCGGGGACATCAGGGTTGAGGACACAGCCCAGCCTCTGCCCCCTCTACCAGCACCCTGCCTGCCAGCGCTTGGGCATCAGGACGGGCACCCGGCACACAGGAAGGTGAGGAGAGGGCTTTCGGGGTAGGGCGAGACCCCAGGGGCAGGGGCTTTGAACCACCTGCCACTCTAGGAAACACACTTCATGGGCTGTTTTGGTCTAGGTGTTCCGAGGCCTAGACACACATGGCCGAGGTGGGGGCCGGCGAGCCCTCTCCTGGCATGGAGGTCGAGCAAGGGACAGAGTATGACGTCCTGCCTCCCCACACCCTCTCTCTCAGCGACTCCGACTCTGACCTCAGCCTGCCTGGCAGTGTGGAGCTGGAGGCTCTGTCCCCAGAGGGGCCACCTGGGGAGGCCCAGGGGGACTCAGGCCCTGACACGCCACCCTCGCCGCCCAGGGCCCCCTTGGCAGCTGCTGTGCAGCCTTTCCACTTGCGGGGCACAAGCAGCACCTTCTCCCAGCGCAGCCACAGTATCTTTGACTGCCTGGAGGGGGCGGCTAGGCGGGCTCCAGCCCCCACGGTCCAGGCTTTTGTGGGTGACAGTGGGGGCTTCAAGCAGCCCCTGGTGCCCTCAGGCCGGCCTCTAGCAGAGTGCCCAGGCAGAGCCAGGCAGAACCTTGTCCCCTCAAGGTTACCCCCTGTTCCCGACTACGTGGCCCACCCTGAGCGCTGGACCAAGTATAGCCTGGAAGACGTGGCCGAGGCCAGCGAGCAGAGCAACCGGGCCGCCGCCCTGGACTTCCTGGGCTCCCAGAGCTCAGCTGCCCCCAGCGACTATGTGCCCTCGTTCAACCAGGACCCGTCTAGCAGTGGGGAGGGAAGAGTCATCTTCACCAGACCAACCCGAGCTACCGAGACCAGACCTGAGAGGAAGAGGGCCCTAAGGAAGGCAGGGGAGCCTGGTGGGGGCGAGGGGTCTGTGGAGCTGGCTCACCTGGCCAGGCCTGGGAGCCCAGAGGCTGAGGAGGCAGGCAGCCCTCAGGGGGGCCTGCAGGAGGTGGGCATGCCCGAGGGCGTCCCCCACAGTGTGCCAGCGGCCGGCCCCCCTGCTGTGGAGACTGTGGGCTTCCACGGCAGCAGGAAGCGGAGTCGAGACCACTTCCGGAACAAGGGTGGGGGCCCTGACACCCCAGGTGCCGAGGCCTGACAGCAGAGACTGCGCCCAATTTAGGAGTCCTGCCCCTTGGGCAGGGAGCCTGGTGGGCAGCCTGTAGGTGGCGCCAGTGGCCCTGCCTGGGGCTCAGGCAATGGTCTTTGGATCCGAAACCTTGCCAAAGGGACTGGAAGCCCTGGACTGCTGGGTGTCCATGGGGGACAATAAAGGTTTGGGGTATTTCTCAGGCTCAGTGTCTCTTGTGTAGACCCCCCTCCCCACCCAGGACCAGTGTGGCTGTGACCTTCTGTGCTCCCCAGCCCACCTGATCACCTGTTCTCACACTTGAGCCTCCTGACAGCATAGTGTCAGGGGCTTAGAGAGTTTAAGTCACCGGCTGCTTTCAGCAGCAACAGGTCTTCCGAGGGAACTGAGGGGACCTCCTTGGTCCAGGCTGGACTCGAGGACCCAGGCATCCAGCCTGCGCCCCAGAAGCCTGCAGATCTCAGGGCTAGGGGCAGGGGCGTGCTGAACTTGGTCGGAGGAGGGGGAGGTTTTGGGGGGCTCTGGGTAAGCTTGCTCCTCAGCTCTGTCCTGCCCGGGCCATGTGTAAAGATGGCAGTATCCTGGGACCTCATTACCATGACTGCTTAGTTGGGTGCAGTGGCCCCAATAGCAGGGGACCGTCCAGCAAGGGACAACGGATGGTCCCCTTGGTGCTGGGGAAGGCAGTGGTGGTCACAGCTTTCTTGTGACTGATGGGCAGCAGGGCGGGGTGAGGAATCAGCCAGCCTGCAGTACTGCCCACCTCGGGTGCCAGGCCCTCAAGGGACAGAGGGACTGACCTCAAATGGGGAGTGGAGGAGCCTCGGCCCCAGCCCACAGGGCAGGTGTACCCTCTCCCACTGCACATGGTCTACCACTCAGGACCTGAATACGTCCCAGCCACCCAGGGGTCCACTTTGATCTGTGGGGTTACAGCTCAAGTGTAGGCATGGTGCCCAGGTTCTGTCTAAGGCAGAGCAGCTTTCAGGGGCAGGGGCAATATCCTGGGGCTGCTCCCCAGGCTGGACACGGTCCAGCATTCTGAGCTGCTCTGGCTGCAGGGGTGGGAACCACACAGTAAACACGAAGGCCCAGATCTTAAAAACGGCAGAAATTTAAAAACACTAGAATGCCAAAAACAGTTTCTTAACAGGTGACAGGTTGGGTAGGGGGTTGGTGTGGCCCCAGGACTGCTGTTCCCAGACAGGAGGTGGACAGGTGCTCAGGGCTCACTGTCTTGGTGCAGGCGGCTGGTTTTGAGGCTCCATACATGGGTGAGGGCCTGCACCTCACCGCTGAGCTCCCAGGCCAGGGAGGCTCCGGAAGGTGCCAGGCAGGGCATGGAGTGGTTCCTTTTGACAAGGTGACAATGGGGGTGGGGTGGGGAGTAGTGCGTCGGTGGGACCTGGGGTAACTGGCCCTAATCTGGTCCAGAGGCCAGGCCTAGAGCTCCGGAAGAGGTGGCACTGTGTGCCAACAGTCCAAGTGGCTCAGGTTTCAGAGGGCAGGGGGCCAGCCTCTGGGTGCTCCCTGCTACCCAGGCCCCCTCCGTGCTCAGCAGGGGCCTGCTGGTTCCCCATGCCAAAGTTCCTAGAGTCTGGTGGGGAAGAAGGCCACTCAGCTGTTGGGTGCCCAGTGAGGCAGGCCAAGGGGAGGGAGAGAGAACCGCCCAAGGGTGAGCATGGGACCTGCTGGGGGTCCTCAGGACCACACCCTCATGCCTGGCTGGGCCAGAGGGCATCTGCTCCTCCTTGAAGACAGTAGCCAGCTGAGGGCCAGTGGAGGCCAGAGCAGGTCCCCACCCTGGGCGGTGACATCAGGGCCCTCACCAGACACACACTTACTGTGGTAGGCGCTGCCCAGGGCCAGCCTGTCGGCCACGGAGGACAGGAGCACCGTGCAGTAGTTGACCTGCCAGAGGGAGAGGTGGCCAGGGAGCTCCATTCCACACCCCAGAGCTCTTGGAACAGCAGGGTGCTCGGCACCCTCCCCCCACCTTCCCTCTCCCGCAGGCCCCCTGCTGCCCTGGGACCCTTCCTCTGGCTATATGCGAAGAAAGAGGGCAGGAGGGTGAGGTTCCAGGGGTGTGTGCAATGGACAGTGAAGGGCTTGTGCCAAGATCCCCTCCAGGGAGGGCACCCCATCTCTCAGGTGACAGGTGGGGCTGGGGTAGGTGCTGAACCCCCAGCCCCCCCACATGCTGGCCCAGCCTGGGGCAGGCCGTAATTTGGAGGTGGGAGGGCCTAGATCTTGTTTGCAGCCCACCTGTGACTCCAGGCCCCGGATGCGTTTCTCTTGCTCTCTCAGCCCCGCAACATGCTTGGCTATGATGTCAACCCTGTGGCAGAGCAGGGGCAGCAGTCCGCCATTGGCCACAGAGTGCTCTGAACTTGGGGACTCTCCTCCCTCATCCTGTCGCCCAGGCCCTTTGAGTGGGCTGGGGTCACTGAGGCCTCTCTGGGTGCCCGAGTCTGGGGTGCTCTGGTCCTTTCCCCTAGCCCCAGATCTGGGACACAGAACCTCTGCGCCCTCCTTGCATGCACGGTGGGGGCTGGGCGTCCTCCAGAGAGGGGCCAGGACTGTCCCACCCGCAGGCAGGCAGGCAGGAGCCGTGGGCCTAGGGAGGGCTGGGGAGGCACCATCTTGGGGCACCTGGGGAGACGAAGGGCAGGGTTCCACTCAGAGACCCCGAACAGGGAGGATACCACACATGTTGGCCCCTTTTCCCCAAATGTAGGGAAGGTAAGGCCCCAGAGAGCCCTGTTCAGGGTCAGGAGGCCAGGTGCTGGGCCCCTGAGATCCGGCCACGTCCTTGCCCCTCTCAACCAGCCTCAGTTTCCCCAGCTCGTCTTGAGTGGCAGAGGCCACACCCAGCTTGAAGGCAGTCTGAGAGCCACTGGTGATCAGGACCAGGTCCTGGGGGTGATCTCAGCGCCCTGCCCTCCCCTTGGGCCGGGTGGGCGCCTGCACACCTGTGGGCGGTTCTCCGCAGCACCTCCTCCTCGCTGTCCCGCTTCCTCTTCTCCAGCTTGCTCAGGTAGCTCTCCTTCTGCACCGCCTCCCAGGTGACCATCTTCTGGTCCAGGGGCTCCGGCAGGTCTCTCTCTGGGGAGGCCGGGCAGCCACAGGCTTAACCAGCCAGGTGGGCCTCAGGGCAGAACCTAGGCCTCCCTCCGATGGGGCAGGGAGCCCAGGGAGCTCAGCAGGGGCCTTTCCCAGGGTGCCCACCTGCAGCCCCCCCAGTGCAGCCTCTGCAGGGAGCTCTAGGCTCAGCCGGTGCAGCTGCCCCAGGGGGCTGAGGAGGGGGCCCAGGCTCCACCCACCCAGCCCCACAGCCTCACCCAGGCGTGCCCGCTTCTGCCCGGCCTCCTTCTGGAAGACCCTCTTGAGCACCAGGCTGAGGTGGCTGAGCAGGATGAAGGGCGGGGCCAGGGCAGGGCGCTCCTGGTACTCCACGATGAGGTGGTAGCGCTGGAACTTCCAGAACGTGTCCGCGTTGCCCTGCACCATCTGGAAGGTGTAGCTGTGGGACCGCACCCCTGAGCCCTGGAGCCCTCGGAGACCAAGCCCGCCCCCCATCCCCATCCCAGATCACTGGTTCCTGTGGGGTGTCTAGAGCGGTGTTCACTCATCCAGGGGCCTCCGCTGCCCCGCTGCTGTCCTGTACACACCACCAAGCCCTGAGTCTTCGAGGCCCAGGCCCTGCTCAGGGTGAGGGGGTCCATGGGGCAAGGGCTTGGGAAAGCCCCCACCCCCAGATCCGCACCCCCTCCTGGTTGGTGCACCCCCTCCCTGCCTGCCCTCCAGGCCCCGCCGGAAGGGGAGCCAATGCTCGGGGTGATCCCCCACCTCCAGGCCTCTCCCCACTCAGGCCCCAGGCCTGGGTGGTTAGGCCTGGCTTGGAGGAGGGTGTCGGGAGCTGGGTCACGAGGCCCTGCAGTGGACAGTGGATGGGTGGGCACCTGAACATGGCAATGAGCAGGTTCATGAGCAGCACGTTGGTGACCAGCAGGAAAGTGACCAGCAGCAGGATGACCAGCCAGTTGGCATAGAGGTTGGGGCAGGCAGGCGAGCCCTCCAGCAGCAGCGGGTGCACTGAGCAGTTCACACGGGCTCCTGAAAGGGAGGGGCACTAGGGCTGGGAGGACACCCACGGGGCAGCCCTAGGCCAACACTTTCGTGTGGTGGCAGCTGCTTCCTGGGGTGGAGGACCCAGGGGACTGGTGGGGTGACCCACTGCCCTGGATTTCCTGGAAGTCCCCATCAACCAATGGATGGTTAGCCACAGCCTGGGACACGCGCCCAGGGGCAAAGCTGAGGCCGGTGGGGCTGGGGGACAGGCCCCAGTGTCTGCTGGTTGCTGTGTGGATTAACGCTGCCCCTCCCCAAGCCGCCTCCCAGGCTCTGCTCAAGCCCGACTGGAGAGAGCTGGCCTAGCCTGGGGTAGACAGCGACTGGTGCAGGACTTCTCAGGGCTTTTACGCCTGTCACGGGTGCCATCTGGGAGCAGGCTGAGCTCCCACCCTGGGCAGGGGTGTCCAAGGAGCAGGACTCCAGCCCCTCATCAGCTAGCTCCCCCCACACCTGCCTCTGCCCCTGCAGGGTCAGCCCCGGACCCCAGCCCAACCCTTGGCACAGGGGGAGCAGGAGGCCCGTGGTAGTCCTGGGCGCCGGACCGCTCTCCGTCGGGGAGTGTGTGCAGATGTGTGCACAGCCTGCCTGATGACTGCTTTTCATGCTGGGACTGAGCCCAGGCGATACAGGCCTGGAGGAGGAGGGGAAGGGGGCTCAGGCGGCTCCATCCTTTGCGTCCCAGGTCACGCATGTGGACCCGTGTGTGCCGTGTTCCCAGCTCCGTACACACGTGGGTGGCAGGCCTATTTCTGTGTCCACACCTTCCTTACAGGCGTCCCTCTCCTTTCTCCTGAGTTACCTAGGGGTGGGCCTGTGGCGACCTCCCCTCCTGCCCCCCTTCCTCTCTTTCCAGGCTGACTCTTGACCCCC